AGGGAAGCCCTACAGATCTACAGTAAAAGATAAAGGGAAATTGGGATGTTTGCAGGGAATCAAGTCATCTTAGAAGCTGAAACAACGAATGAGGAATCTCTCCTGCAAACCACCCTTTGGGTAACAAACACTAAAGAGAATTAGGATGAGGTATCAGTCACATTAAGAAATCTGGCAAACGGATCAGATTCTGCAGGTAAATCTGCCCCGGGTAACAGGCAGCAGAGAACATTCAATGACATCCCTGACTATCTGCTCTGGCTTTACCTGGCATTGGGAGCAAACTAACCCATTATCAGGACTCACCGTGGGAAAACATGCTTCTTAAAATCTCTGTGCCATATGACAAGACCACCCCGATTAGTGACACTGTCATGCTGCCTGCCCCAGGTCTGAACCATAGCATTCCAGCATGAAGACAAGGACAGGACTAGCAAATGGGAGATACATTCTCACTACTGACTTGGGCTTGAGATTGACAACTATCTTCAGTGCAGGCTCAGCTTGCTTTAAGTTTTCACCTTTCCCCATCCCAGGTCCACCTCCCATGCTCTAAGCTGGGGGAGTTATTACCCTTTGAGATTTGAAGCTGGAGGAGTACTCCTTCTATGCCACAACCATAAACAGACAGGAATTAAGACACTGGTCTCACTGTAAAGGTGATAGGTGACTCATGCTGGGAGTATCACCAGGGACTCTTGACAATTTTCTAAAAGGAGACAGTATAAGGTTTAAACCCTGTTCATTTAACCTATATGCTGAGCACATCATGAGAAACACTGGGCTGGATGAGTTACAAGCTGGAATCAAGATAGGAGGGAAAAACATCAACAACCACAGACATGCAGATGATACCACTCTAATGGTAGAAAGTGAAGAGGAAGTAAAGAGCCTCTTCATGAGGGTGAAGGTGGAGAGGGAAAGAGCCAGCTTAAGACTAAACACTAAAAAAAACTAAGATCCTGGCATCCGGGCCAATTACTTTGGGGCAAATAGAAGGGGGAAAAGGTCAAAGCAGCGACAGATTTCCTCTTCTTGGGCTCTAAAATCACAGCAGATGGTGACTGCAGCCATGAAATCAGAAGACAACTGCTTCTTGGAAGGAAAGCAATGACAAACCTAGACAGTGTGTTGAAAAGCAGAGACATTACTCTGCTGACAAAGGTCTGTATAGTCAAGGCTATGGTTTTTCCAATAGTCATGTATGGATGTGAGAGTTGGACCATAAAGAAAGCTGAGCATCAAAGAACTGATGCCTTCGAACTGTGGTGCTGGAGAAAACTCCTCAAAGTCCCTTGGACATCAAGGAGATCAAACCAGTCAGTCTTAAGGGAAATCAACCCTGAATATTCCCTGGAAGGACTGATGCTGAAGTTGAAACTCCAATACTTTGGCCACCTGATGCGAAGAACTGATTCCTTAGAAAAAGTCTCTGATGCTGGAAAAGATTGAGGGCAGAAGGAGAAAAGGGCGTGAGAGGATGAGATGGCATCACTGATGCAATGGACATGAACTTGGGCAAACTTCAGGAGATAGTAAGGGTCAGGGAGGCCTGGTGTGCTACAGTCCATGGGGTCGCAAAGAGTTAGACACGACTAGGCGACTGAACAACAACAAGGTTTAAAACACTATTCCTTTGATGGATCTGTGTTTTTAATGCCAGTTAGCTGACTTCACAAAAAACACAGCCCATGTTGCATAATCCCGGTTTTTGGTAAGAAGTTTGAAAAGAAATGCCTTAGAGATCTGAGGAATCTGTATAGACACCATGAGCTGCTTCAACAGACCACCAGTTGGAGTCACTAATCCAAATGAAATGTCATATTCATAAAAACTTTTCATTTAGTCCTCAAATCAAACAGAAAGATCAATGATCAAGTGTGAATGTAAAATAATGTCATCACAATAAAATAGATTCTGAAAGTTCCTTAAAATACTAAAGATAAAATTAGCATATAGTATAGCAATTCAACTTCCTGGAGATGCACTCAGAACTGAAAACAGACTTGAACAAATACTGGTACACCCATGTTCACAGCAGCATTATTCACAACAGCCAAAATGTAGGAACAACCAAAATGTCCAATAACAGATGAAAGGATGCACAGAATGTTGTATAGACCTGTAATGGAATGTTATTCAGCCTTTTAAAAGGAATTGAATTCTGACACCTGAATCATCTAGAGTCATCAAATTCAGAGAAGTAGAATGGTGGTGAGGGGCTGGGGAGTCAGTGTTTAATGGGTACAGAGTTTCAGTCTGGGATGATGAAAAAGTTCTGAAGATGAATAGCACTGATGGCTGAACAACAACATGAACGGACCTAATGTCACTAAATGGTGCACTTAAAAGGAGTTAAAATGCGGGCTTCCCTGGTGGTGCAGTAGCTAAGACTATGCACTCCCAATGCAGGGGGCCCAGGTTTGAGCCCTGGTTCGAAAACTAGATCCCACATGCTGCAACGAAGATCTGCTGCAGGCAAATAAATAATGTTTTAAAAAGTTAAAATGGTAAACTTGATGTTGTGTATATTTTACTACAATTTTTTTTTAAAAAAGCAATGACCGAAAGTAATTTTATCAAAGCAGTCAAAAGGTAAATAAAATAAGTCACTCATATATGTGATATATCCCAAAGGATCATTGGGACTTATTAGCAGCCATTTATAACACCCAAGTTGATTTCTTTCTAGGACCAGAGATCAGGAGGTGGGGCCTGAGCATGAACCACAGTCCTTCCAAGGCAGCACCAGCTTTGGCCCTAAGGAATCAGTCTGCTGGCACCCCAGTGGGATCCCAGATGCAAAGCTGTGGAGGAAACAGCTCTTTCTCACGTTTCTGGAATTTCTGGTTATGTCTGTGGTTTACCCCAACAATACCTGACTTCGTAAAGGGACAATTCTCTTAACCTAATCAAGCCAGCAAATTAATGGCTTTGGGAGATGTTTACATTCATCTAAGCAAATGTGCCAGGCCCAGATCGGATTTCCCAAAGGCAATGTTCCAAAGTGTTAGTGCAAAGAGGAAGAAAAACAGGTGGACCCTGGCTCACCTGTGCAGCCAAGAGAGAGCTTTATTTCACTGAACCATCAGACCTAACAAAAGATTTTTACAATGCAGGTCTGGTGAAATTTCCTATTTATTTACGGGAGCTAAGCATGATCTGGAAACACAAACATCTAGCTAAATTTTGGGAATCAGAGTGTCTATCTCCTAAATAGTAGATGGTATCATAGAATATCAAAGAATGTGATGAATGACAAGAAAGACCCCTGACCAGAGTGTAGGGGCACACGGCCATTTCCACATCACCCAGGAGGAAAATGGCTCAGATGCCGCAGTCAAACACAGACAGTGAGACGCCAGGCCCCCAGGGATGACACAGCCCTGAGATTAACAAGACTCCGCTCAAGGGAAAATGAGGAGACAAGTCACATTTTGCCAACAAATGTACCCCCAGGAAGCAGAAGTCTAAATAAGTAGCAACTAGATGAAAGAAGTGATAATTTCAATTTAAACTGTTTGGCTTTAGACTTCAATGACAATTTTAATTGCTTTGTAATAAAAATTGCATATATTTAAGGTGTACAACGTGATGCTCTGATACAGAGAATGGCAAATAATTACTAAAGCTACTTAACACATTGATGATATTGTTGTCCTTTTTGTGTGTGTCTGCTATGTCAGTAAATTTTAAAGTATATAATACAGTCAAATGAAAATTCTTAAAAAAAGTAAACAGGGCAGAGATATCCAGGATCAAGTTTATAAAGGGCACTTCAGCTCCCGACACTGGCAATTTCTCTGTAAATCCACTTGAAATCCTCACTCCCTTTACACTAGTTAAGGCCAGGGTAACCTATGAAATAATTTTACGGGTATTTTTCAGCACAAAAGCACTAAAAACATCAAACCAGGTCATAGTAAAACTGCTGTAATGCTAACTAAAGAAAAAAAAGAAAATCTATTATGAAAAAAACTAAATGAATGGCAACCAACAAATTGTCTCTAAAATTACTAAAAACAATGAAAATTTTCAAGTTTTATCCAAACATCTATTTTCTTTACTACTGTTATGAACAATCACAACTATATAACACGATGAGTGAGTCCATATGTGGCATGGATTCCATTTACATTTTTTTAGTAAACATAATTATAATGAATATGATTAGATGCGATGTTTGAAAAAAATAAGATGCTGTAGCCAGCATCTTATTCCGTTTCTCAAATACATTCTTTTCTCCTAGATTTAATTTTATAGATTCAATTACAGAAGCTTTCTAGTAAATACAGCTTTGTGTAAATAAAGGTTTTCATGAAAAACAACAAAATTTCCATTAATACCACTATGAGATTTTGGCATGAAAACATTAAAAATCAACTTCATATCTCTGATGCTTACAGACTTCTTTATAAATTTACTGAATATTATGCAAGAGCCTGTGAATAAAAGTTATCAAAAGCTGTCCTGACCTGATCTCAATACAAATCTCTTATGTTTTTGTAACATTTGCTTAAACAACAAAATTGGCTGGATGCAAAGAGCAAACTTCGGTAGCATGGTGTGAAAGTCAAACTGAAGTCGCTCAGTCATGTCCGACTCTTTGCCTACCAGGCTCCTCAGGGGACAGTCCATGGAGTTTTTCAGGCAAAAGTACTGGAGTGGGTTGCCATTTCTTTGTCCATGGGATCTTCCCAACCCAGGGATCAAACCTGGGTCTCCCGCATTGCAGGCAGACGCTTTACCATCTGAGCTACCGGGACACCCGCAGCATGGTGTAAACGAGTATAATCATTAAAAGAAAATGTTTTTCTTGGGTACAATGTGTCTTACTTTTTTACTGAAGTATACTTGATGTGCAATATTATATGTGACACGTGTACAATAGTGATTCACGGTTTTTACTAGTTATAAAATTTGTAATTGACAGAGAACTTTCCCAAAATGCTTCTGGTACTTCATGAGAGGTACACACTTTGGTCCCGAGTGACACTTACCTTGCGGTAGATCATGTGGCACATGGCTACTCTCAGCCTCATCCCCGCACACTGGACGTGGTAGAAGTACAAGTGGTGTAGAATGGCCAAGACAAGCGTGCAGGCACTCAGCACCCCGGCATAGCCATGCGCTTCGTACAAAGCAGCAGAATCAGAGGGATCGTAGTTTTCAAAATAACCAATAATTTTCCCCAAAATTATGGGCTGAACTACTCTGGTACTTTCCTAAAAACAAATTTTAAAAAATCTTCATTAGATATACAAGCCAAACCAGGTTTTCTTTTAGGCTTTGGTTGGTTGTTTTTGTTTGTTTGTTTGTTTGTTTTTTCGGTCAGTAAAGAGTTTATTCAGCCCTCAAACCCTTCAATCATAAAATCTTAAAATCTAGTTGGGAGATTGAAGCTAATTGGATTCGTGGGTGCCAAGTCGCTTCAGTCATGTCCAACTCTTTGCGACCCCATGTACTGTAGCCTGCCAGTCTCCTCTGTGCACGGGATTCTCCAGGCTATGGGTTACTCTGCCCTTGTCCAGGGGATTTTCCCTACCTAGGGATTGAACCCGGGTCTCTCTCAGGTCTCCTACACTGGCAGGCGGCTTCTTCACCACTAGCACCACCTGGGAAGCCCCAAACCAGGTTTTCTTAACACACGCTTTACTTTTATTATTACTTAAAAAGGCATCTTGACAAAATGCAACTTTCCTAGTTAATCTAAAGAAAAAATCCACAGATCCACTATCTTCTATAAGACAAGCAGACAACAGTTTTTTTTTTCATTTATTTTTATTACAGACAACAGTTTTAACCTAAGCAAAAGTGTGATAAAGACAATAAAGCCTTGGTTACTAACACTGTGGTTAGTACATTGTGGATGCTCAATAAACCAGTGCTTTAGAACACATTTGGCAAAATACCAAGTGAGTCTTGGCTTCAGATGAGCATAAGGTAAGAAATTTGTTTCCATATGAACAAGCCCTTTTGGCAGCCTGCTTCTTCTGGTCCCAGCCCAACAGAAATTCAAGGTCATTCACGTAAGGGAGGACCACTCTTGCCGTCTCTGTCAGCTTTAAGAGCCTTTATGGAGGGGAAGCTGAAGAAGACGGCACAGGAGTAAGACACGGAGATCGTCAGCCTCCCCATAAATACATCAAAAACTAAAGATGGACTACCCTGGTGGTCCAGTGGCTAAGACCCTGTATTCCCAACGCAGGGGACTCAGGTTCGATCCCTGGTCAAAGAAAAAGATCCCACATATAACAGCTAAGAGTTTGAACAACTAAAGATCCTATATACCACAACTGAGACCTGCTGCAGAAGCCAAATAAATAAATATTAAAAAAAAAAAAAACACTCATCAAGAGCCTTTATGAACTGAGACATTGGCACAAACAGATCCCCTCTCTCCAAACCTGAACTCTACACATACAGGGATCAAGAGAATGGAGCCCAGCTTCTGCTAGAGTTTCTCGAAGAGAGCAGGCTTAGGAGGTTCCCAGGAACCCAGCCCCAGGGTACACTGTATCACTGTCTCTCCACCCCAGGAGCTGGGATATTCCTTGGAGCCAAAAATTAAATACAGCAAAAGCCAAGCTAAAAAAATGATGTCATCCATGGTTCTTCATCTGCCAAACACTACAGGTACTGGTTTAAAATACATATTAACCAATAATCTTTTCCCCAAGGCAAAAATTACAATTCTAAACCAGTGAGTTGGGAAGCATTGGGACTTATATCTTAAGTATGGCATAGGGAAAACAATTTTCCTTCCCAAAACTAACGTCAAAAAAACTGCAATACTTGCCCACTCTGCCAAACGGACACTCCACCCCACAACCTACTTCTGCCCCCTTGTCGCCCGTGAAGGTCCCATTCTTTCTCACCAAGGAAAACCAAACACTCAACAAATTCAAGTCACCAAAAGTAAACACTTCGGCCTCCATTTCCTCCAGAATTCTCCAGAATTCAAAAACACCATTTCCTCCAGAATGCTCAAAGGACAAAATGCCAAAAGTTCGGAAATCTTTCTAGAATTTGGATTTTCCTTTTAAACAATCCCTCCTTAATAATACAGACAGGGTAAATCATTGATGGGTTTGCTTTTGATAGCTCTGTCTGTCCGAAGCTGAAGAATCCACATGCAAGAGGAAGGGAAGGAGAGTCAAAAACTTCAATCAGCAAATAAAACGAACACATATTTTCTGCTCAGTCAACTAATGCCTGATCAGATTATTCACAGAAAGCTGTCTCCATCCTTCAAATGAATGCAACAGGGAAGCCCAACACTTGTATCTTGCTCTGCACACACAAACCCACACATTCACTGACTGCCTTGCCTTCCACAAGGTCATGGAAGGTTTCATCTAATAGGGAAAAGAAGGTTAACGTTGTTTAGCTGATGATCAGATAAGAGCAAGATTGCCCAAGAACACAAAGGCTGGTTGTTACATTTCCAGCAAGCCCCATGATTCATCCCAAGGGGCATGAAGAGCTTATTTAAAAAGCCCCTCACATTGTATATTGCAAAACACACTGTTTATAGAGTTTACTGAGATAGAAGGCTGAAGCCTTACACAGAGAAACAAGAATGTCAAACTACACAAGGGCAGTCCCAGCCCAGGTATGGCCCAGAGCAGTCCAGAGCTGCAGCCTACAACCCTGGGGTTCTCCACCAGAAGCCCAGTGCTAACAGCCGCCATCCCAAACTTCCCTAAAACTTATGATTATATCCGGAATCACTGTTATCTGTGACTCAGCTCTCCACATGAGCCTAACATTGAAAATCCACCAAAGAGAATACCAACAGAAGTAACAAACTCTGCAAAAATGAGTTTTTTCTAAATAAGGATCACTACTGCCTTAGCATCTTGACTTTTTTCACTGAGGCCAACTTGAATACCCCAGTTGATCAAACAGTCTGATTAAGCAGTATATCTGGTCTACCACCCAAAGTGTCCACTCTTCTGTTTTTGACCCTAGACCCTCAACTGAGTGAGAAATAAAACAACTGAGAAAACATTCAGCATCAAAGTTGAAAGTAGCCACGTGAAAACTTTCTAGATAAACAGGAACAAGGTCAAAATTACTCCTATGACCCCTTCATATTTGACACCCAAACTACAACTCCACAAACCAACTGAGAAGATAGTTTTTATTCCTTTACAAGAATTCTTCACAACCACAAAGCCAAAAAGGATTTTTACAAGATCCCAATATAATACCACAATGCCCCATGGCTCGAGGTTCAAGTCTCTGAAGCAGACATTTCTTGGTGGAGTCCTTGGTATTCAGCCTCCGGAGAGCAGCTCCCATGTGACCCTATCTCTTGTTTTTAGGGGAACTTCTTACACAGCTTGCTGCTAGAAATCCCCCAGTGGGTACAGTTCCTCATCTGTGATTCCACATGTGCTGCTTTAAACATTTCTTGCCCAACTCTGTTATTTTTGATTCATGAGAGAAAAAGGAAAACACAGGAAGTAGAAACCATCTAACACAGAAGGAAATAAGCAGGTGAGCTTATGGGAAAATGAACAGGCAGTTAATCTTTAGAAACTGGAGAAGAGACAACAATGTTAGACTTGAGAAAGATCCAGAGCTAAGAGGGAAAGCAGTGAACTTGGGGAAATTAAACCATCAGTATTTCAGCCTATCTGTCTTCACTCCTCTGTCACACAGTGGACTTCATGCTGAGTGCATCACTCACGAGGAGCCGCGAGCAATGAGGGCTGTAGCCCAGCCCCCAGAAACTGGTTTGAGTGAGTGAGTCAAAGTCACTCAGTCGTGTCCACCTCTTTGCGATCCCATGGACTATACAGTCCATGGAATTCTCCAGGCCAGAATACTGGAGTGGGATAGCTGTTCCCTTCTCCAGGGGATCTTTCCAACCCAGGGATCAAACCCAAGTCTCCCTCATTGCAGGTGGATTCTTTACCAGCAGAGCCACAAGGGAAGCCCAAGAATACTGGAGTGGGTAGCCAATCCATTCTCCAGCGGATCTTCCCAACCCAGGAATCAAACCAGGGTCTCCTGCATTGCAGGCTGATCCTTTACCAACTGAGCTATCAGGGAAGCCTCCCAAAACTCACAACAAATTAGGGATGCAGACTGAAGTCCTCATTCCCTGGAAGATTCTTGATGCAGAAACTAACCCCATGTAAGCATCTGCTATCCTCCTGTCCTACACTGTCAAAGCATCTGAGCCTAGAGGGACGACAGACCGGCTGTGAATGATTTACAAGGACCACAAAGGGTTTTAATCAGAATTCCATGAGATCTATCATACTTCCAAGAAAAACTCATATGAACTCAAGTCCTGACATTCCAGTTAAAGGGTGGGGCACCGGAGAGGGGGCTCAAGAGAGGTTAATAGGCAACCCAGAGTAAACAAAGCAAGAAAGATAGAGTTCAATTCATTATGCAAATCCATTCTCCACTGACAAAATGCTTTTGTGTTTCAGGGCCAACATTCTCTTTCAGGTACAGAGCAGAAGAAGCCCTTACAAATGGAGATTTCCTTCCTGTGTCTACTTCTCAAAAAAACAGTCAGCTCAAAATACTCTTTACTCCAAAAAGGCAGATTCCAGGGTAGAGCATTCAGCTACCTTGTTCTATTCTTCTATTTTTGAAATGTTCCTTAAAATCTTCAGGGAAAAAGAAAACTCCACACTGCAGGAAGCAGCAGAAGGTGTACAATGCTCTTGTCGGAAAAGTCTTGGCTCTGTGACCTGGTGGCTCAATCAGTAAAGAATCCACCTGCCATGCAGGAGAGCTGGGTTCAATCCCCTGGAGAAGGAAATGGCAACCCCTCCAGTCATGCCTGGGAAATCCCATGGATAGAGGAGCCTCAGTGGGCTACAGTCCATGCGGTTGCAAGCGTACAACACGACTTAGCAACTAAACCTGTGACTCTTCAGTGAGGCTGCGGAAGGAGAAGAAATCTCAGGACAGAACAAAGAGAACACTGGTCTAGGAATCAAAACACTGTGCTTCAGAAACCAGGCTGGCCACCTGCGAATCACATGACGCCAGGCCCCTCTTGTGCCCTCCTGCACCTCCAGGTCCTCATCGATGGAAATACCTTGCCTCCCTCCTGGGACAACTAAATGAGCTACAACGGCTCAGAGTGCTCTGAAACCATCATCAAAACAAATGTAAACTACGATCACTTTACTATACAGAACTTCCAGGAAGAGACCTATTGTAGTCTTAATGGCAGAGGCTGGTTTCACAAAGAGCTTGGACAACTCGTCACTGCTCACAGGTGATCATAGCAGAACAAAAACTCTTGAGAAAAAGTCATTCATAAAAGCTAACTTTTACTGACAGTAATGAAAACTATCAGTTCTAGCCAGATTTTTGAAATCTGATCCATTATAAATGCAGTCTTGTAAAAATGAGTTACCTACTTCCTAACTTCAAAAAGAAAACAGATTAGGGGGATTCGTGAAATAGGTGATGGAGATTAAAAGGTACAATCTTACAGGTATAAAATAAAAAAGGCAAGAGAATGTAACATACAGCATAGGAAACGTAGTCAATAATATTGGAATAGCTCTGTATGGTGACAGAGTGTAACTAGACTTAATAGGGTGAGCATTCTGTAACGTACAGAAATGTTTTATCACTATGTTATATACATGAAATTAACATAATATTGTAAGTCTACCATACTGAAATTGAAAACAAATTTAATAAAAATTAACATGTTTTTAAAAACAAAAATGATTGAAAAGCATTCCCCTCATTTAGACCTCAAGGTCATCACTGTAGATATTACTAACACCTAATGGCTAGTGCTATGCTTTTAAGAGGGGCTTCCCTGATAGCTCAGTTGGTAAAGAATCCGCATGCAATGCAGGAGACCCTGGTTCAATTCCTGGGCTGGGAAGATCCGCTGGAGAAGGGATAGGCTACCCACTCCAGTATTAATGGGTTTCCCTTGTGGCTCTGCTGGTAAAGAATCCACCTGCAATGCAGGAAACCTGGGTTTGATCCCTGGGTTGGGAAGATCCCCTGGAGAATGGAAAGGCTACCCACTCCAGTATTCTGGCCTGGAGACTTCCATGGACTGTGCGACTTTCACTATGCTGTTAAGAACCAGCAGGGCGCACACAGCAGGTCTGCTCTGCAGGTTCCTGTCTTGCTTTTGCTCAATTCTCCCTCCTCCTCTCCCTTGCTGTGTGGCGCTCAGGAGTTACTCCAGGCCCACAGTTTCTTTGCTACCAGCAGCCTCCTGGGTGGAGCAGAAGTGAGGGACACATGGAAGGAGGGTTGGGAAATAAATGCAAAGACCACTCAGCTCTTAGGGAACCAGCCCTGAATTGAAGCATAAAGCCCACTTTGGGACGCAGAGGATTCTGTTTACTTCCTGCCCACCGGCTGAGCTCCGAAGTGAAAATTTACACAAATAAGTGTGTGTTCCTACAGCTTCCACCTAAAACAGAGACAACCAGCAAAAATGGCCTTGAGCAAAGACCAAGTGTCAGGACAAGGTCAAGCCATTTCTAAGGTTCCCAGAAAGAGGACATAAACCATGGCCACACCTCCCCTTCTCAGGGGAAGGGACTGGGTGAACCCACTCTGGCTCTCTGAGGTCACCCTACTTACACACCAGCAGTGGAGACCTCACCTCGCAGAGAGGAGCCCTGATGACCTGGGGAGGTGGTCTCTGTGACTCAGGCCCAGGCAGAGACTTCAGGCTCCTCCTCTCCACCCTGAGGAATCTGGGCAGGCGGAGACCTGTCCTCCCCACCCATGGTCCCCATGAAGGTGCACACAGGGGCCAGGCGTGCTAGGAGCTCACTGGCTGTTGTGTTCTAGGAGCTCACTGGCTGTTGTGTTCTAATTAGCATCGGCCTGCAAGAGCTCCTCGAACCCTTAAAGTCATTCCTAATACTCACAGGAGAGAGGTTTTCATGGTTTTGAAATCCTAACCCTAAATACCTCGCCCTGGACTGACATCACCCTGCCTCTTCCCACTGGTGCTGCTGCCAGTAGTTCAAGGGAAGGCCCTGCCTGTGTTGTGGGTGGTCAGAGCACACTGCGTGGGAATCGTGGATGATACACGCAGCATTCTGTGTACCAGATGAACCAAAAGAGGGCTGCAGGTCACACAGAAAACATGTTTGCATTTTAGAGAATCCTGGGTTGAGTTTAGATCTTCCAGTAGCTAACACAGATCAGCAAGCAGCATAGATAGAAGATAAAAAAATGGAAAGCTGCTTCATAAAATCAATTATTTAACTAACGTTCATTGCACTTTTCTCAGTAGCTTTAATCACTGAAAACCCAAGAGTACCTGAAAATGAGTTCTAAAATCAGATCCTTACTAGCTTCATCATAAGAAATGATTTCTCACTTCTCCAAAACAGCAGGGTGTCAAAAGGCAAGTCAAGGAAAAGAGGAGTGTTGTGCTAGATTTCAAACTTCTTTTGACTGCCAATAACAACAACAAAAAATTCAAGGTTTACTTCTCCTTGAGTTTTAATGACCATGAAGTCCCCGAATTCCAATCAGAACTAAGAGTTCTACCAGTGTCCTAAGGACACAAATGTAGAGTGAGCACTGTATGTATGCCAGTCACCTAGGAATATAGGAAAAGTCACCTAGGGAATACAGGCCACTGTCTAGTTTTATGCTTTAAACCACCAAGGTCGCAACACAGCAAGATCAAGAAACCTCCCTCCTGGGAGAAAGCCCAGTTTCACCTGATTAATCTGCTACCCTCCCAGGGACTGTCTAGTTCCCACCCTAAGACCTCAGGCCTGGGACACACCCTGCATGTGGGAAAGTGTAAACAGACAACAGGAGAACTGCTCCACACTCTGGTAACTGACCTGGGGTTCTCATTCTCACTGAATAGATACGTTCCCAGATTCATGGGGATGTCAGCTTTCAGCAAGCAACTTGGCACATGTACTAAAAAAAACAACATAGGAGATTCCACCTCTGTGCAGATTATCAATGTCCCAACATAGCCACTATCCATGACCTGGTCCATCTCAAGGAGCCAGTCTGGAATGGTTTCATAACAGCATGGATGGATGTTTAGAACTTAAATCATCAGAACAGTCACAAGCTCATTCACTTGTAGCAAAGGCCAACCCACCTTTGTCAAGAATTAAACCTCCCAGGACCACCCAGTCACCTGGGAGCTGACAGATTCCCTGTCTCTCCAGTTGTGTGGGGTGGGCTTCACCTACCCAGCTGCCCACTGCCCGCAGTGCAACACAGCCTTTAAACAAGAGCCACGCCGCCCACCTGCCACCCGGCCCACCCACCTCACCCCAACACAATCGACTGAGGACAACTCATCACCTTCTCCACCTAAAACCCCCCTTTCACAGCAACTGCCTCTTCCATCCCTCCTGCTCTCACACACTCACAGCCCGCCCGTGTCCCTAAGGCAGCACTAAGGGACCACGGAGAGCACGAGCCACCCAGGGGGGTCTGCAGCAGACCTCCAGCAGGCTCAGCCAGAACGGGGGGCTGCCGGCACTGTGTCCCCAGGGGGACTGTCTCACTGCGGGGTCTTGACCCAGGATCTTCAGGGTCACGGAGGTCACTGACCTCACAGCTTTCTGTCTCTGGTTTGCCCTGCAGATGCCCTCCTCCACCCTCTGCCAATGCCAGGCTCCCAGGATCCCCCTTCAACCAGCAGGCCAGCTCCAGTCAGGGACAGAAACCAGCATGGAGGGTGCACAGAATTTAGGGTGAAGCCGGAGCTCCTCCCCACAGGAGGGCTCTGACCTGGGTAACCTGGCCCATGGGGACGGGGCAGCCCAGGGAAGGGTGTGCTTTTGGGAGCTCTGGCAGCTCCCGCCCAGATGCAGGGCCCCAGGTTCTGTTCCATAGGAAGGGGAGAGGTGACAATCCCTTCTTAAGAAACCATTTATCAGATGTGACCTGGGAAAGTTAATAATCATTTGCTGAGTGCCTGTAAAATGTCTTCTAGGCTCAAGGCTTCCCAAGTGGCTCAGTGGTAAAGAATCTGCCTGTAATGCAGGAGATGTGGGTTCAACCTCTGGGTCAGGAAGATCGTCTGGAGAAGGAAATGGCAACTCACTCTAGTATTTTTGCCTGGAAATTTCCATGGACAGAAGAGCCTGGCGGACTACTAGGCCAAGGTTTCCCAAAGAGTCAGACATGACTTAGCGACTGAGCACACACACATGTATCCTGGGCTTGAATCCAAGTTTACTTCCTCAAAACCACAGGGCACATACTCCTTGAGGTTGCAGGATCTTCTTTTGATCAAGGACCACTCTTAGCATTCATACTGAACATCAAGAACACTCTTAACATGGCATAAAATTCTTCTTTTCAGTGTCATCCTTCCATAACACTATGTTTTAATCAGTTGAAAGGAAAAGAGTAATCCCTGGAGGTCCAGTACTATAAGTATCTGTCTATTCTAAAGATACATCAACCACTGAGCTAAATCACAGACAAGTTTTCATAAGCACATTTTATCCTCTGACCTCTCTCCCCGCAGGTCTCATCCATCTCAGTACTGAACCACATACACTGAAAAGCAATCCACTGAAAAGCTTTTACCTCAATTAATGTAAAAATTCCCAAAACTACATAGGATTTCCAGTAACACTTGATGATTGCTTTTGTTAAAGAAGGCTTCCGTGCATCTTTCTCAGCTCTCAAAACCTCTTGATCCCAGTATCTGCAATGAGAAACACAATAAAGAACAGGTGTCCACCAAAGGGAAAACAGGGGAGGGGGGAGTGGAAGATGAGCCTTTACCACAGGGCACTCTGTGGCTGCCCCACAGATGCTGGCAAATTGCTCACAGGGCTCGTGAAAGATGAGCAGTACAGACTGAAGCACCAGAAAAACAGACCTTGAAGGGAGAGCCCCAGTCTTGGGAAACAAGTTCCTGCCAAGTTTTGCTGGATTCTCAGCACCATGAGCAGCTCAAGAGGGCAGACGTCCTTCTCCAGGGGCCCCACCTCCAGGGACAGAGATCGGCCTGCAGGGCCATGACTGCGGGCTCCCTCCACGCCCACAAACGCACAGGGGTCAGGGTCAGCTCTCCAAAGTGGGCTAAGCCCAGGGTCAGCCTGAGGGGGTGAGCGTGCGTGCCGTGTCAGGAGAAGGACCCAGAGGAAGGCAAAGCTCCCCACCCCACAGCCCCCACCTTCAGCCACACGTGGAAATTCCCTCTTCCTCCCCTTCTCCCTGCTGCCCGTGCTCACCCTTGCAGCTCTTCTCCAAGGTGCTGGGAGCGATCTTCTGGAAGCACCGAGTACATGTCATCTTCTTCTAATCTCCGTTTGTGACCGATTTTAAACAAGGGGTTTAGCCACCTGTTAAAAATTAAGAGAAACGGAGAATGACATATATCCAAACTACACATCTTTGTCTACTCAGTATCCCACTCTGCCAGGCTTTGTTGTTTGTTTGTTTTTAAAAAGAGGTCTACAGAAATAGGTCCCCAGGTGGCTCAGAACCCACCTGCAATGTGCAAGACCCAGGTTTGATCCCTGGGTCGGGAAGATAACCTGGAGAAGGAAATCCTGAAAGAATCCCCACTCCAGTATTCTTGCCTGGAGAATTCTATGGACAGAGGAGTCTGATGGACTGCAGACCAGGGCGGGGGAGGGTCACAAAAAGTCGGACCCAACTGAGAGACTAACGCTTTCACTTTTAAATATTTAGAAATTTAAATATATAGAAATATGGGGAAAAACACAGACACATATACACATAGTCCCTAACTCTACATGGTGAGAGACCCTGGAAGCAAGAACACATTGGTACCAAATACCATTCAAGCCCCCAGATCTTGGTGTTTTTGTTTTTTAACATACATCATTACAATTTGTTCTTTTCTGATAAGAATTTCTAAGGACAACTCTCAGTAACTTTCAAATATCTGACATATTATTAGCAACAACAGTCACCATGCTGGACGTCTCCATGACTTATTTACACCTCAAGTTTGGGCCTCTTGGTCCCCTTCACCCAGGCTTTTGATTTTTAATATTGTTTCTAAGAGGAACCAGGGTTTCCTGAAGCAATGGCTGATTCCAATGTTGCTGCAATATGTACTGTCAGTCGCTCAGTTGTGTCTGAATCTTTGTGACCCCATAGACTTTAGTCCACCGGGCTCCTCTGTCCATGGGATTCTCCAGGTAAGAATGCTGGAGTGGGTTGCCATTCCCTTCTCCAGATCTTCCCAACCCAGGGATCAAACCCGAGTCTCTTGCATTGGCAGGCGGATTCTTTACCACTGAGCCACCAGGGAACTACTAAAATATTAGCTGACAATATGTATTAGCAGCTGACAATTAGCTTTTTTTTATCATAATGCAAGCACCTGACATTATGCTTTGGAGACACCCACTTTGGAGACTTCAACTGGAATAAACACAGGCCACTATACAGCTAGATAAGGAGCCAGGCCACCGCACTCCTGAAGTTCCCTTTTTCAGAAAGCTCTGATTGACCTGCTAACAGACCACCTTATTTCTGATAACAGACTGCTTATTTCTCCCTTCCTGTACTTTAATTCTCACTCATGTCTTTAATTACCAACAGATAGTGACAGGAAACCCCAAGCACCCAGCCACTGACTCCAACAAGGCAGAAGCATAGGTCCAGGTTCACTCATGATCCATCTCGCTCTCTCCCTAGGACCTTGCTGTGTGGCCCCAGGCATGCCTTGTACTCTCCAGGACATGTGGATAATAAACTTTGCCATCTCAAAGTTCCCTGATGGTCATAATCAAGAACAGAAGGACCAGTCCAGCCACAGTATGGGCTCCGATGGGGAAAGTGTCTGTGGGGGCTGCTGTAATGAGAAAGGGCCCAGGTGAGCAGAGCCCCAGGCATTCCCAGCAGCAGCATCACGAATGATAGGCTGAGACCAACAGGCATAGTATAAGATAAGTATAAGTATAAGATAAGTATATCTATAAGATAAGTATATATAAGTATAAGATAAGCTTGGGACAACTTGCCTCATAAGATAAACAGCTCAAGGAATCATAAGGATGTGTCAAAAGGACAAAGAAGCCAGCCTGAGGTACTCTTGCTAGCCAAATCTGGGATGCTGGGATATTAAGTGTCAATGAGTGATAACCCATTAAATAATGAAAAAAATCCATGACCGCTTCATAAATAGGAGAAGGGAAAGTCTGCATTCTAGAACAGAAACAAATATAGAGGGAACAATAGAAGTCAGAAAATGATCAGAAAGAGTCAGAAAATGATCAATGGAAGTTAAAACTAGTGTGAAGGTTTAATGTGAATAATGATATTTACATAGTCTCAAATTATCCCTCTACAAGTTATGGATGGAAAAAACAGTAACTGTACAAAAGACTAAAAAACCTTATTCAAACCAATTATGTGTCATTTAAATGATAATGTTTAATATGCAAAGACAGCCCAAAGATCAATATCATCTACTGATTTTGCCAGGGTAAGGAAATTTCCAAAGCCAGATGATAATCACTCATGAAAGCAGAGACCACATTTCTCTTATTTATTGCGTTATTCCTAGCATAATACAGGTAAAGAGATGCTCAAGAATTCTTTGTTGAATCTTTGGATTATCAAAGAAGCCATAAGAGAGACTGAGCTTCAGATTTTGCTCACCCTGGCCTCCTGGCATCTCTAAAGAACCCCAGTCCAGGATTCCAGTCTCAGCAGTGGTCCTGAAGACCCCAGGTCTCAACTATGGCCTCACTCCACTTCATCCCCTCCAGTTCAGCATCTCCATAACCCTTAATATCTCTAGGTCTCAATTTCCTTCCAAAACAAAAGTACAGATCTGTGAGCATCACCACTATACAAGTTTGAAACATGCTTGGCCCTTTATCCTACAGTCTCCTACCTACACGGAGAAGGTGATGGCACCCCACTCCAGTACTCCTTGTCTGGGAAATCCCATGGATGGAGGAGCCTGGTAGGCTGTAGTCCATGGGGTCTCGAAGACTGAGCGACTTCACTTTCACTTTTCACTTTCATGCCTTGGAGAAGGAAATGGCAATCCACTCCAGTGTTCTTGCCTGGAGAATCCCTGGGACAGGGGAGCCTGGTGGGCTGCCGTCTATGGGCACAGAGTCGGACACAACTGAAACGACTTACCAGCAGCAGCTGCAGCAGCCCTCCCTACAGAAAATGCTCAGGGAATTAGCATTCCCTGAAAGGCCCTCTTTAAAACTGCTTGCCTGGGGTAAGTGTCTCAACATCACTAATTGTCAGGGAAATGCAAATGAAAACTACAATGAGATGTGACCTCGCATAAATTAGGATGGCTATTAGAAGAAGGAAAGGAGGGAAGGGGGAGAGGAGAGTGGAAGAAATAATAAGTGTTGGGAAGGATGTGGAGAAACTGGAACCCGTGCACACTGCTGGTAGGAGTGTAAAATAGTGTGGTCACAAAAGACAAATACTGCAGGACTCCACTTACAGGAAGTACTTAAATTCAGGGAGAAACCAAGTGGCCCGATGCCTGCCAGGGGCAGCATGGGAGTGGATAGTTATTGTTTAATTACACACGAATGTAGGATGAAGAGAGCTCTGGAAACTGTCTGTACAACAATGTGAATGTATTTCACACTACTGAACCGTATGCTTTAAAAATGGTCAAGGTGGCAAAATTTTATCTTGCATGCATTTATCACATTTTTTTTAATGTGCCATGTTCTGGTTGCAGGAGCTTCAACTAGCCACAGAACTTCTCCACACTGGCCTGCAGCAAATGCGGATAACACCTGGAGATAACAACACTCACCTGGGCTGCTGAGGGATCAATTGAAACGGTCAGTGATGCTCTGAACACAACCAAGTCCGGTCAGACAAAGAACAGTGGCAATGCTCTTGAGTAATTCCCATGTAAGCCCCAGCAAAAAACAGATGACGGTGCTCAACTAGGCAGATTTCTTTCCCCATGGTTCTTGATTTAAGGACCCTCACCAAGCTCTTCACTGCCCCAAATCTCAGAAAGCCAAGCCAAGCCCTCTGGGTACCATCAAGGGATGAAGATTTTCACTTCCATCACATGGCATGCTGACTGACAGGATGCTAAAGTATGTGTCCCCACCTCAACAAAAGAGCTAGACAGGGAGACCCGAGTCAGTTCGCACTGACTCCAATCTGTCAATTGTTTGTTCAACAATTCCGTCACTGCCAAGTAAGCCCTCCCTCCAAGCCAGTTCCTCCAAGAGTGGTCCTCCCCCGCAGAACACCCATTCCTCCCCTCCCGCCAGCATCTCCACCCAGCAGCATCTCCTCCTCACTGTCTCAGAGGGCACACCTCCTTCAGGGAAATGACTACTCACACACTGCAGGGCCTCTCCATGAGCCTCACGTGCCACGGCGCCTGGCACAGACAACATTGGAACCCATCCAGAATGACATCAGAACACCCACGCTGCTGGGGAGCTATCTTCAAAACGGGTCACCACCCTGGCTTTCCCCAAGTGGCCCTCGGCCAAATCCAATTAGCCATACTTCAGTGGCAAAGCTCAAGCCAGAACCTTCTTTCCTTTGTTCTTTCAGTTCAGTTCAATTCAGTCACTCAGTCGTGTCTGACTCTTTGCGACCCCATGGACCGCAGCACGCCAGGCCTCCCTGTCCATCACCAATACCCAGAGTTTACTCAAACTCATGTCCATTGAGTCAGCAATGCCATCCAACCATCTCACCCTCTGTCGTCCCCTTCTCCTCCCACCCTCACTCTTTCCCAGTATCAGAGTCTTTTCAAATGAGTCAGTTCTTCACATCAGGTGGCCAAAGTATGGGAGTTTCAACTTCAACATCAGTCCTTCCAATGAACACCCAGGACTGATCTCCTTTAGGATGGACTGGTTGGATCTCCTTACAGTCCAAGGGACTCTCAAGAGTCTTCTCCAACACCACACTTCAAAAGCATCAATTCTTTGGCACTCAGCTTTCTTTATTGTCCAACTCTCACATCCATACATGACCACTGGAAAAACCATACCTTGACTAGATGGACCTTTGTTGACCAAGTAATGTCTCTGCTCTTTAATATACTGTCTAGGTTGGTCATAACTTTTCTCCCAAGGAGTAACAGTCTTTTAATTTCATGGCTGCAGTCACCATCTGCAGCAATTTTGGAGCCCCAAAAAATAAAGTCTCTCACTGTTTCCCCATCTATTTGCCATGAAATGATGAGACCAGATGCCATGATCTTAGTTTTCTGAATGTTGAGCTGTAAGCCAACTTTTTCACGCTCCTTTCACTTTCATCAAGAGGCTCTTTAACTTTCTTTAACTTTCCTCATTTCCTAAAACTTGCTGGAATCCATTTTCTCATCCTTGTGCTAAGCTAAGTGGTAGTGCAGGCTGTGTCCCCCTCCCTCCCCAAGGTTCTCCAGCTCCCTGCACACCCTCTGCCCTGGGGCCCACC